ACGTGTCTACTGTTCAAGGCTTTGCCCTCGTAGCCATCTACATGCTCCGAGCGTCTCAACCGAATGGAGCCTACTTATACTTCTGTATGCGGAATGAGAAGGAACTGGCAGTACATAATACGCTAACTTGTTTCAGCCCTGGCTGCGCGTGCCGCATACGCAATCGGCATACACCGAACGGAAGTGAACGCATCCTTTGGCGAAACCATCAAGCTGGTGCGAGACCGGATCTGGAAGAGCATTCGCGTCACCGACCAGTTGATAAGGTAAGATACCACTACAGATGTCCTCGACCAAAGTCTCATACGTTGTGGAGGCACCACAGCTTCACTCTGGTAGTATATGCTGATCCTCTGCGTCCCCGCGTAGCAACGCATTAGGCCGACCTCCGTCCACATCAGATGTCGATTGCACCGTCAAATACAACACTTTTGAAGACAACACCGAAACCGATGATGCCAATATACTGGATGCCAGCGTCCAGATCTTCATGATTATTGAGCGTGTCGTTGTGGAAGTGTACTCTCGCAAACGTATATCACTACGCATTGCAGACTATGTTTCGCGACAGTTGAAGAGCTGGGCGTCCAAATGGCTGCAGAAATTATCTCATCTTACGACCAGACCTCATTCCCGAGAAGCCGTAGTGGGTGCCTGCTCCACGCTCTGCTCCTATTACTACGGCATCATGCTACTCACCCGACCTTTCCTCATCTACGAGTTATATGAGTACATGGGCGCTCCTCTAAAGAGCGGAGGCTCACAAGCTGATCACCAAGAGAAGCGCAAGTACGCAGATGCTGCACTTGATGCCGCATCGACGTTAGTGGATACACTGCTAGTCGTTACGATTACAAAGCAGTTGCCTCGTAAGATGCCACTGATAGTGTAAGTAAAGCCACCTTGACCGACTGACTTGGCTAACAAGTATGAGATCCTGGCTCTTCACGGCTACACTCGTTCTTGCCGTCGGCATCCTTGGCGACTCAGGACTCATGTTAGTGGACAGCTGCAAAGATGCAATCACTTGCATGGACTACTTCGGTCAAGTCGACCCTCATGCCCGGCAATACTCACAGGTCGCGCAATCGCTACTCAAGATTACCACTGCACATGCCAAGAAGAGAGAGCTGCATCTGCGCCGTAAAAGGAAGCAAGCATCGTCAGAATTGTTTGGCCTATTGCCTGGAGAGTCAACTAACATCCCGGCCCAAGTGGACGAATGCGACGCACAGCTCGGCCACGGGTCGCTGGTCTCCCGAGAATCCGTTCAGCGCCACGTGTCTTCCGCAGCGCCACTCGATTGGACTATATACGATGCTGACTTCTTTGCCATGCCATGGCCGAGTGAGAACGATCAGGGTCTCCAGGATTTCCTGCAGCCGGGCACTCACAACCTTGATGGCGTATCTGTGGCTGACATACCGCTTTTCCCCATCCACGACCAGCAGATGGGCGGTGACTTCTTCCCGTAAGTTCGAGATGGATGCGATAGCGTCACGAGTGGGTTTCTTCTTAAAGGTCTCTCCCAGAGAAACTTCAATGCACGACTTTTGTTTCACTAGTCTCGTCTCTCGATGTTCTCAGAAACGGTATCAGCTTGGTGCCTCCAGTTCCGACCAACTCTTGTGTCTTCGGCTTTTCGGCCGCCAACTCCGTCGAGGCGGAAGCTATATCTCGTCTCTTGGGACCGGTAGTGGGTTTTCCCATTCGGCTCGGTATGATGATGTACCTGGTCACCAAGGCGATGTGTTTGTCGCGGAAGCCGCTGAGCGCCGCGACGGCTTCGTTGAATGCGGTCAGAAGCTCAGTGTTGTCTGTATGGCTATCGACGTAGCTTCGAATATTTGCGATTGCTTGGACATCGTCAAGGAAGCGGGCATGGGGCCCGGGCATGTATCCACGCATCTCTGCGTGAAAGCCGCCGCTTCTCGAATGGTCGACAGAGAGGACCGCATCGAAGAACTGCAAAAGCGAAGACTGGCCGTTGGAACCACCACGATAAGCGCGCCATGTGCCTTTTCCGTTACCTTCGTCGTAGAGAACGCCGTTTGGTAGACCTGCACTCGCCATGTTCATGCTCCCAGCCAGGAAAGGTCGGATGGTATGGTAGAACATCTGCGGGTCACACCGCTCGTCCATGCGTTCCAAGAGCTGGCCAATGCGCTGCATTCCCTGTCGGAAGTATTGCAGGGCGTGTATGATCGTTGTGGCATCATCAGTCTCGACAGCTTCAATAGCACCAAGCATGGCCTCGATCAACGGGCCTGCTCTTGCTTCCATGGCATTCGAAATAATGAAGAACCACGACTCATCATCGGTGCCCGTCGCTGTGTGTAGTGCAACCATGTTCTCCGGTTGCGTCAAGTCGGCGTCTTCGTTGAGTGGTGTCCAGTTCCATAAGTTCAGAGCTGCATATGTGGCCACTGGATGCACCTCAAGATAGTCGGCAGTCTGAAGGAACGACACAGTGATCGCTGGGGGTAGTCGCTAGCTTCCTTGTTAGCGACTGGAGACTTTAAGGTACTGCGATTTCATGCTGACATACCTCTGATGGCTCGGGACCTGCCCATATGTAGCCCTGGGCTATGACAGCGAGCATCGAGTGTGCTCTCTGCCATTCTGCTTCACTGGAGAGATGCGACGTATCGAGAACGGGCAATTCGTCAACCCATTGCCGTATTTGCTGTGTCTCTATGAGGGTTGGAAGTTGCTCAACGATCTTTTCCCATGGTTGATAGTAGGTGTGCGGTAAGCGTTTTAGTGGTGGTACGGCAGGCAAGAACCCGTTCTTTGAGATGCCGTAATTGGGGAGCGCATCGGGTGATGGCAGGACGGGGATCTTGTGAGGGCTCATTGCGGCGGAAAAGGTAGCGACGGTAAAGTTACACAGTAATATCGGAAGAGTATGTCCTTCCTTGTAGCGGCGAACTCCTGCTTTATTGCGCTGAAGAGCGAGGTCCACACTCACCCACGGTCGCGTTCCGATAGTCTTCCGAGCTCGGAATGACGGAAGCAATGTCGGATGAGAGTCCGACACCCCAATGAAGAAGGTGCAAGCTTAGTTTGACGCAAGCCTCAAGCCTCTTGCTTGGAGACGTAATGGCCAGATCGTGATGCATATATAGTCTGACGCCGTCTTCTCAGTATCATTATCACATTCGTACATCACATTGCATCTCGTTGGTTCCCCAAGACATACCCTAACCGACAGCACATCATCACCATGGACGCACCTGCCGCAATCCAACAGCTTCGCCAAGGGCAAAAGCCACAGTGGCCAACAAACGCCGAATCAGCAGACTTTGCGCATTCGCTCGACCAAAGTGCAGACATTCCCAAGACGTTCCGACCCGAGTTTGTTGTTCCCAGCAAAGCGCAGCTAAAGCGGAAAACCCTGAACGATGACGCACAAACCGCCAACCCTGCATCAACACCAGACGACGAGGCCATCTACTTCTGCGGTAACTCTTTGGGACTGCAACCGAAAGCTGTTGGCGAACACTTGAACGCGTACCTTAAGACATGGGGATCAATCGCTGTTGGCGGTCATTTCACCGCCCTCGAGGACTCGCCGCTCACACCCTACCAGGACATGGCTGCTGGGTGCTCGAAGAAGATGGCTGACATTGTCGGCGCATCCCCTTCAGAAATCGTTGCCATGAACACATTGACCATCAACCTGCATCTGATGATGGCTGCATTCTACAAGCCAACAGAGAAGAAGCACAAGATTATGTGCGAGTGGCGACCTTTCCCCAGCGACTGGTATGCGATCGAGTCGCAAATAGAATGGCACGGTCTCGACCCCAAGAAGTCTATGCTACTGGTCGAGCCGGACGACGGATACATCATGACCACCAAGAACATCCTCAAGCTCATTGACGAGAATGTCGATGAGCTGGCTCTCATCATGCTGCCCGGTATCCAGTACTACAGCGGCCAATTACTCGACATCCCCACCATCACCGCACACGCACGCAAGCACAACATCACCATCGGATGGGATCTAGCACACGCTGCCGGAAACGCCGAGTTGAAGCTCCACGACTGGGATGTCGACTTCGCGTGCTGGTGCACATACAAGTACATGAACGCCGGTGCCGGTTCCATCGCCGGTGCTTTCATCCACGAGAAGCACGGCAACAACGACCACTACAAGGGACTGAAGGGCTGGTACGGCCACGACAAGTCATCACGCTTCCTCATGGACAACAAGTTCGTTCCTACACCTGGCGCGCAGGGCTTCCAATGCTCAAACCCATCGATCGTCGACCTCACATGCTTGGCTGGCTCGCTCAGCGTATTCGAGAAGACTTCCATGGCCGACCTGCGATCACGATCTCTACTCCTCACCGCATACGCCGAGCACCTACTTGCTCAAATCGCGGCGCGCAACATCAAGGACGGCAAATTCCCCTTCGAGATCATCACACCCACAGATCCCCGCTTCCGCGGCGCTCAACTGAGTGTGCTGCTACCAGAGGATGTCTTTGATGATGCAAGCGCGGCGCTAGTAGAGAATGGTGTTGTCTGCGACAAGAGGAAACCCGGTATCATTCGTGTTGCGCCTGTACCGATGTACAACACTTTCAGCGATGTTTGGCGGTTTATGCAGATCTTCGAGGAGGCGATACGGGAGAAGGGTCAAGGGCAGGCTCAAGAGCAGCAGTCGCAAGGGACGGCTGTGGAGGCGAGGTTGTAAATTAGTAATAGTCAGTTAGATGTCTTTTTTTTAGCAGCACTAGACGTTAATCGACACGATTGTTGCCAGAGGCTCGTCTATCTGTCTCTCACCTGCTCGCAAAAAGCACCTCGCGCTTCCGCTGTACCCAAATTCTGTAGTGCCAAGTTCCCCACTCGCCTTCACCTGGTCTTTCGATTGCAGCGCGGTAACTTCCCGCTAGTTGCAAGACTTCCATAAATAAGTACTCGCTGTATCTTAGGGACGCTTTGTCTCTATCTCTCATCCAAATTCGATACCACAAACAGCGACGACAATGGCGGGAGTGGCTAAGAAGCAGGCTCTCCGTGCGTTCAAGGGGTATGTCAATCCATACAAACTCTCTTCCCCCAATATGGCGTAGAGCAACACTGACTAGAGGATTGTACAGCTTACTCGAAACCGGCGCATACTCCGATCTCACCATCACGTGTGGCAGTGACACGTACAAAGTGCACAAAGCGGTTGTTTGCGAAAGGCTTGACTTCTTCGCGCGTGCGCTCAGATTTGGTGGACAGGTGAGTATCGAATACATTGTGCAATGAATGAGAACTGACCACTCGAGAAGGAGTCCCAGAATGGAGTTATTGCCCTTCCGGAAGACGATGGGGCGGCTGTCAAGCTCTTGATTCAGTATTTGTATGAAGGAGAGCATGCACCGCTACTACCCGACACCAAATCATCCGCCAATCTTGAACCAATCCGTCCTCAACCCAACGAGTATGAACATGAGCCTTATACCTACGAGTTTCCTCATACTTGCACCGACAGGACAACCAACGGTGCATGTAATTATTACAGAAACTGCCCGCATCATACATGCAACTATCAAGAAAGCTTGAATGGTTATGAATCGGATGTTGAGTGCTGTGAGAACTTCGTTTGCAAGAAGTGCAACGAAACACCTCCACCACTTCCTGTCAACGGCGCATCCGATCAGCTTCTACTTCACTCCAAGATGTATCAAATCGCGGACAAGTACAACGTTCCTGGGCTCAAGGACCTGGTAATAGAGAAGTTTCGCAGATCCTGCGGTCACTTCTGGGATGACGATCTTTTCCCTGCTGCGGTGCGCCACGTCTTCTCTAGCACACCTTACCACGATAAAGGCTTACGCGATCTCGTCAGTGCCACGCTCAGCGATCATCTCGACTTGTTGCACAAGCCTGAGATAGAGGCTTTGGTCGTCGAATTCAACGATTTGGCCTACGGTTTGCTGAAGAACAAGTCGGGAGCGGGTTGGCGTATGTGGGTTTGAATTGCAGTCGGTAGATCCAGCTTGATTGAAAGGAAAGAACAACTGCCCGGTTGACTCGGGGAAATTCATCTCACCTAGATAGTCATCGCAACCCTCCATAGTATATATCAAAAGTGGTATCTACATGAGGCAATAGGCTCGAGCCATCATCACCAAGATAATTTGGTATATGCAAAACAGGTTGTGCTACTCAATATATCCTTGTCTGGACTTTGACTATATCGACACTGTCGAAATGAGCTCACTTTCACCACATGACTAAAGAGCGCCGGAGTAAAGTGGCGCCGGCCGCAAAGGTTGGGGAAAGAACCACCCTCCACCCGTCGACACCTTCAACGTCATCTCACCCGTGGACACCTTCAATGTCCTCTCACACGTGGACACCTTCAATGTCCTATCGCCCGTGGACACCTTCAATGTCCTATCGCCCGTGGACACCTTCAATGGCCTCTCACCCCACACTGCAATCTCGATCAACGATAGATATGGAGTCGACTGCGCAGGTGAAGCTGCTTTCAGCTGTCAAGAAGTGAGTGAGGTCATGCGAAATGATCAATCTCAAAGCTAATAGCCTTCAGTCTGCTCGACACTGGCGCGTTCTCCGACCTCACTGTAACCTGCGGTTCAGATACATACAAGGTCCACAAGAACATTGTGTGTTCGCGTGTGGATTTCTTCGCTCGTGCCATAAAGTTCGGCGGCAAGGTGAGTTTATTGGCCCTCTAGACTGACCGAGTATTCGTTGACACGACCATAGGAAGCGAACGAGGGCACTGTCGATCTGCCCGATGATGAACCTGCCATCATCAAACTGTTATTCCAATGGATCTACGAGGGCGAGTATGGGCCTAGCGAAGACAAGACACCGGCGTCTCCTGCAGTTCTGGAGTCAACCTGGCTCGTCTCGATGCGTAATTATGCGGCTGCGCGACGCGATAGGGATTCTATCCCACCTCATATGAGGAACGAACCAGAGATCAGCGAATCAAAGATCCCCCACACCTGTCTATTCGAAGGATGCATAGAAAAGGTCTGCCAGCACCATACCTGCGGAACTGATTGCGAATACAAGTGCGCTGGCTTCATTTACCGTACCTGCAAGCCCATCACAGGAGAAGCCAGCAACAAAGCTAAGGCGCTTCTCATCCACGCCAAGATGTACGAACTTGCTAACAAGTATAGTATTGCGGACCTCAAAGATCTCGTCAAGGAGAAGTTCCAGCTCGCTTGTCAGCTATAGTAGGACACTCCTACCTTCGCCAAAGCAGCTCACTACGTCTTCTCTACCACCCCAGATCAAGACAAAGGCCTACGGGACATCGTGGCCTCCACTATCACTAGTCACGCGAAGATACTCTTGGAACGTCCGGATATTGAGGCTCTCTTGAGTGAGTTCAACGATCTAACCCTTGATCTACTCAAGGCCCAGGTGTTTATAGCATCTTTCGATGACGAAGGATGGAGGTTGGCACCTGGTGGTCACGAAGGGTGGTCGTCACTCCGCACAATCGGCTCTTCATAGAGACAGCAGGAAGACGATCTTGCAGTTGGGAGTGAAGCAAACGAAGAACATGAAACGTACGAAGACGCCTCGACATGTAACGCCATCCTGATGGCTCAAGTAGACACCGCTACCAAATCTACCGCATAGTCCTCATTCCATGCACATGTATCGTTTCGTCATCCCACGAAAGCACATTCGTTCCTCACCTCTCCATCTACTGCAACCTCACCTCCCCCTCCCCAGTCTTAATCCCAAACTTACTCAACCTAATCCTCGGCACAACCCCCACAAGCACCAACACACTCGCAACAATAACAGCCCAATGCTGCACATGCGCCAAGTTCAAATTATACGTCGTCCACGTCGCCGCGCAAATCGTCGCAAGCCCCAGCACCGCAATAACATACCCAGCCATCCTATGATACTTATAAATACTCTTCGCGTTGTCCACACTGCCATAAAGCTGCGGCACATAGTACTGCGTGAACCCCACAATCGCCTGGATGTACACAAGGATATAAAAGGTGAGGCCGAGGCGCGCGTGCGCGGATTCAAAGTGTTCGTGGCCGGGGCCGGCTTTGTTCATTTCGATGATGATGAGGCCGGCGGTGAGGGCGGAGGCGCCGAGCGCGTGGAAGAGGAAGTGGGCAAGGGTGCCGGAGCGCTTTTGTTCGGGGGTGTGGGTTGGTTGGAGGACGAGGGCTGCTTGGATGGCTAGGAGGAAGCCGGCCTAGGGGGTATCAATGATACGGTTGGCGGGAGGGGGTGATTAGGGTGGTGTTGTGGCTTACGGAGTTGAGGAGCTGCGTGGTTGGGCGGTTAGTTGGTGGTGGGCGAGGTTTGAGGGGTGAGGGGCTTACTGGGTGGGCGGAGAAGAAGATGAGTTTGTTGGAGAAGATGGCTCCCCAGATGATGGCTGCGAGCTTTTGACGCGTTAGTATGGGCGTGGTATGCGAGGTGTTGAGGTGCTTACAATCCATATTCCTGCTTGCGCGATGGGAGCGGTGCCTGGATCTGTTAGACTTCTTCCTTACAGCGTATGCTTGACAGCACATACCGATCCACAGGTTATGGTAGAGAGGCTGCCCATGCATCTGGCTCGCATCTCCTCTTCTGCCTAGAAGAGGCTCTTGTTCACTCTGTCCGCGCGCCGCGGCGGCATTTGGTGGGATTCCCGTCGCAGAAGCCATGCCGTGATGTAGAAACTCAAACGCGATGCTATGAACAGCCTGAGAATCAAGAGAGGTCAAAGGGTATAGTGTCAGCCTGCGACAGGTGTCTGAGGGGTGCGCTTCGGACTTTAGGCGATGAGGAAGCTCCGGCAGACAATGACGACAATACGAACCCCTGTTCGTATCCACCAATTAGCGCGATGCGGATGTCAGATGCATTGAGCTCCGGCCAATCAGCGCCGAGATGACTAAACCGTGGAGAAAGTGGTGATGTTTGCATTGCGGGTTTTGGGGGGTGGAGAAGACGTTCTTGACGCGAGATGCATGTCTAGCGCGTCCACAACGGTCGCGTGAGACATCTTCATCGCACCACTAGACGCACATGAGGAAGCTGAGCATCGGTATTGGTGGTTTGAGTATATTCTCGTCTCCGTTACATCGTTGCTATTGTACAAGTTTGCGCTCATCAGTAGCGCTGCGTCAGCATAGTCATCCCCGCTGCGTGTCAAGGTATCAAGTCCATGTATAATATCCCCCCTCTTTCTATCCCAAGGCAGAGTTTGCTGCCATAATGCCGCCTAATGAACCATACTACGGGGAATCATCCTCCACCAGCTGCGTTCGCTCCAAAGTAACAATACGCCGTCAAATGCTCATGCATTCGCCTTGAAAACATTACATCCATTAACAATCCAACTGCATAACCAAACTAAGGATATGAGATGCGAGAAGCATCCCAAGTAACAACCAGCGCCTCTAGTGCGATGGTAGTAACGTGGACCACTGTCATGTTCGGTGTGCCTAGTAGCACGTCCAGTGGCTCCCCAACTGCGCCGTTCGCTGATGCAGGTAGGAGCAAAATCGAGTACCGTGCCTCGATACAATGTGTACGTGTGCGTAAAGGTAAAGTCACCCACTCTCACTTCTTCTTCATGAGAGCAGGCTGTTTCGAAGGGTCGGCCGGATCCAGGAACTTGGTCATGGCAAGAGAGAGTTCTTTGAACTCCACCGGCTTCGTGACGTAAGAGTTGAAGCCTGCTTCCACGCACTTTGCGTAAACATCACCGAGGACGTTCGCAGAGAGCGCGATGATAGGGTGGCGGCGGTAGCTATGCTTCTTCTCCCACCGCCGTATTTCTTTGCAAGCTTGGTACCCGTCTTTGTTGGGCATGTGTAGATCACACTGGACGACGTTAGTGCTGTACGAAAGAAACAGACGTTGCTACTTACGAGGATGATCGAGTAATAGCCGGGTGGCTTTGCAAAGACGGTATCGGTAGCTTGAACACCATCCTGTACCGTCTCTGTTTCAATGTCGATCCTGGCAAGGAATTTCAAGATGACCTGAAGACTATCAGTATGCGCAAGAAGTTACATGTAGAGGCCACTAACCGTTTGGTTGATCTTGTTGTCTTCGACCAGCAAGACCTTGTGGTTCTTGCCACCCACGCGGCGCTTGAGTTCTTCAAAGACAAGCTTTTGGCTGACAACGACCTGCTGTGCGCTGTCTTGATTGCGATCCGTGCTAGACTCACGCTCTTTCTGTGGGTCGAAGATGATGGCAAACTTCGAAGGTTTGAGAGGACGGTAGATGAACTGGAGGCGTCGATCCATGTGAAGCTGCTCGTAGTCATAGACCGGTGCTTCTTTGATCAGCTCCTTCTTCTGGGACGGATCCGAGACTACGACAACGGATGTGTTCCCGTACGCCATGGAGCTGAAGATCTGGTCCACGATGGCGTGCACCTCGGCAGTGTCGTGCAGCACGAGAACAACATGGGTGAATAGCACGGGATTATCGCCGCCCATCATCTTCTGCGCCTCGATGACGCTAGCTTGACCCGTCACTTGATGAGGTATCCCTTGAGGAAGCGTGTTCCTGATGTGTCGGATCGTAGCTTCCCTACTATGCTCCAATGGGCACACCACCAGAATAGAATACATGGGAGGTTGTAGAGCACTGCCAAGCGGTGACAGACTACGATGGGGTGAGGACGCACGGAGGGTCTTGTCCGAATCGATGGAGGTGGAAGAGTCGGGCTTGGGGGCTTCCTCGCTATCGGTTCGTTTGGGTGGCAGAGCTAGTTTTATATCCGGGTCTGAAGCTGGGCTGGCCTCTTGCAGGTACGAAGACGCAGAAGATCTTTCCGAACGCAAGCTCGACTGTCCAGTAAGAGCGGCACTTGTCAAAGAGTGATCCGAGCTACCAGAGGAGAGGGACGGAGAGTCGCGCGAACGCTCAGAGGCTGACAGACTAGATGCAGGCGACCTGACAGGTTCGCTCTTGTCCGAGGAGACGCTTGATACGCGCTTGATCGGTGCTTGGCTAGGATTTTGTGACTGAACAAATTTCTGAAGAGCCGAGGGCTGGGGTAGTGGAGGCACTGCTGGCACTGCGAGCGGTGTCTCAAAAGCTGGCGTGCCTGGTGTCGACACCTGCGGCCTGGGGAAGTCGTCGGCAGTGGGAAGCCCAAACTTGATCGTGAAGAAGAAAGTCGAACCCTTGCCTGGCGCACTTCGTGCATCCATTCTACCTCCATGTAGCTCCACGAACTGCATAGAGATAGCCAAGCCGAGTCCTGTTCCGCCGTGTTGCCGGGTACTGCTGGCGTCGATTTGACTGAATCGCTTGAACAGGTACTTGGCCTCAGCATCTGTGAAGCCTTGACCGGTGTCCACCACTTCGAACCGAACCATGGTCTCGTTGTCTCGCAGGGGCCGAGATCGATCGGGTGGTTGCAATCTGCATCGGATAAAGATCTCTCCTCGCTCGGTGAACTTGATTGCATTGCCAACCACATTAAGAAGGACTTGGCGAATGCGGAACTTGTCACCCTTGACCTCTGCTGGCACACCTTCGTCCACAAGGTAGTTGAGTTCAAGGCCTTTCTGTATGGCTAAGCCCATATTCAAGTCATTGACCTCTTCAAGAAGCGACGGCAGATGGAGCCATTCCATGGACAGCTTGATCATACCGGCTTCGACCTTTGACAGATCGAGAATGTCGTTAATGAGGTTCAGCAGACTGTCGGTACTAGCTTTTATGATGTTGACATGCTCCAACTGCTCAGAGTTGAGCGTGCTGTCAAGCAGGAAGTTGACCATGCCGGAGATACCGTTCAGAGGAGTACGGATCTCATGAGACATGTTACTGAGGAACTTGGACTTTGCATCCATGGTTTCCTTCAACGTCTGCTCGAGCAGCTTGTGGTCATTGATGTCGGTAGCTGTGCCATACCAGGTCTCTTCATCGCCGTCTTCAGAGAGTGAATTCTCTAACAAGATCCTGACTAAATGCCACCTGTAGTCACCGTCTTTGTTGCGAAGTCGCACTTCGGTGGAATAAGATGCCCGTCCATCTGCATCCTTTGCAACCCTGAGAATACCAGTGCTTGCTAGTTTGGACAACTTGGCCTGAGGCATGTCCATGCGGTCTGGTACTGATCCACCTGGGCTGGTGATTGTTCGCTCAGTCTCCGATGAAGCGTCCGATGAATTTGAATCGGTTCTACCGTGATCTGCTGGCATCGAAGTGGGCACATTGGCTACTCCGTGTTCATCTAACTCGGGAAGCTTGCACTTGACAACGTCATCAGGGTGCACATGCTCCAAGAAGCCGTTGCCCAGGGCATGAATCTCACTTTGGCCAGAGAAAGAAATCCACTGCGAATTGCAGAACGTCAAACCCCTGCGATCTGACACGACAAACACAATCTGTGGGCTCGAGTTCGCCAGCGCGCGGTATTTGGCTTCCGACGCGGCCGTCTCCTGTTGTCGGGAAGAATTGAGTTCGGCAATATGCTGTTCGTGAAAGTCCATGTTGGTGCCGATCCAGTGAACAATCTGTTGACGCTTGTTCTTGAGTGGGGCGACGCGTACATAAAACCATCGGTATTGTTGATCAAATCGTTGCAGTCTCACCTTCTTCTGCAATTGCTGGCCAGTGCGTAGCGATCTGCTCCACTCCTCCAGATACGAATCGCGATCCTCTGGGTGAATTGAATCCCATGGGTCTCGCAACACCTGGCGTTGATCCTGGCCTCTATAGATGAGGAACTTGGAGTTGACCCAGGTGATTGCTCCGGTATTGGGAGCGGCGGTGAAGATCTGCACCGGTAACGAGTCGGTGATTGTGCGGAGTAGACTTTCTGAAGGAGGTGGCATTTCAGACGTTTCGGTGATGGACGGTCTCCTCACGTGACCATGCGAAGCGTGAGGCTTTCCTCCGGGTGTTGTTGCCGAGGGCAAAGACTGGAACGACGAGCTGAAGTCTGCGCCGTATGAGTGCAAGAACGAGTGGCCTCGATTGGAGTTGCTCTGCATCTGGGCGCGACGCGTGCTCAACGACTCGTCTGGCTTATCGTTACGTGCCTTGGAAGCATCGTCATTGGCCTGTTCAGCTACTGGGTTTACAGTCACTCTCTTTGCAGGACGCTTGTCTGTCTTGCGCGCAGCTTGTTCAAGAGGCGTCGAAGTTGGAGCATTCAGTGTTTTACCATATTGTTTTCTAGCATCGAAGTAGCTTTCAACCGCTTCGCTACCTGTAAGATGGCCAGGGGTACCGCCCATGGAGTGTCTGCTCGAGAATCCGACGGAAGAAGTGTCCCAGCCCGGTGTTCCGGCGATGGAGTCTCCGGGACTGTGCTTGGATCGACCCGAGTAGTCGGAAGGACTAGTAACACTGCCCGCTGCTGAATTGGTGATGTCTTCCAGATCAAGGTGGAGCAGATCGTCGAGGCTATCGGAATCCGAGGGGAGGCTAATGCCGCCAGAAGTGCCAGCTGTCATGCGCCGTTGTCGGACCGACGCGACTTGAGCTTGAGCATTGGTGAAGTGCCAAGCATTGGAGAATGACGTAGCAAGGTGAGGGCCAAGGTGCTTCAATGAATTGGTAAGGTTCCGCGGATATGGCACGATGGGGGACAGTATGGAAAGAATCGCAATGGGCGCTTTCCTCACAAAGCCCTCCTTGTTCAGCGACGTTGACATGGATTGTTCGGACTGTCTCCGCGTCATGGACGGCGTTTGATTTGGCGTGGAGGTTGCTGGAGACGCCATGATCTGAGATAGAATGGGATGCACCAGAGGTATATGTGTGACGGTACTGGCCTTGTCAACGCCAATGGCCTCAACCATGCCAAATTGTGTGTAGTCTTGAGGTGAACGCGACGGGTTGAATGTTTCCTCGTCGACATTGCCTGTAGCGAAGAACGGATTGGCATCAGCATCATTCTGGATAGCCGGTGACGGGGCGGGCGACTGTGCCCATGGTGAGCTTGGGTACTGTTCGTACTCTTCATAGCGTTGCGGCAGGCGGGGATCATTTGTAGCCAGATTGGCACGGCCACGAGCAGCGGCCGCTTTGTGGGCTTCTTGTGCAGCAGCACTGCCCTGTATCGCAGACGGTTTGGTCTGCTCCGGTTTGTCCTTATCCAGGTCCTCTTTAGATGTCGTATGTGAAGTTGAGTAATCTCTGGTCAAAGTGACCAAGCGGCCTCTCTCCAAGACACGATTGACACCTGTATTGTCGATGAGAGCATCTGGCTCGTGGTCGAGAGCACGCAGCACATGGTATACAGCACTAGGAGGCGAAGGCTCTCCCACACTAGAGAATTCTGGATCGCTAAAGGTAGGTCCACCTGTTGGTGTCGAGCCAGCGAATGCAGGAGAGGCGCCATCAAAGGAAGCCTGTGAGACCTGCCTTAGCGGATGCTCTGGCCTGGCAGGCATATGGGGTGCGTGGCTGGCAGACCTCATTGGACCTCTTGGCCGGTTGAGCGACGCCGATGTGGACGTATCTGGAGCAGCGCTGGATTTCTGGCGTTCGTGGCCGGCGAAGGAGTGATGCGAGAATAGCTTCGGTCTGCGTTCCGGAATCATGGTGGAAGGGGGCATGTCGGCATGTTCATAGTCGCGTGAGCTTGGGTTCTCTTCCGATTGGAAATGGCTTGCTGCTTCCTGGTAGGTGGCTGCATGCGGGCTTCCCTCGTTCCCCATGGCAGTAAAACTAGTCTTCTGGCCCCATGGCACGTTCTCGATATCAGACGCATCCGCTGGTACTGCCAGGGTGGCTCTTTCCGCTCCATAGTGGTCGCGCATGATGGACGTTACTGCCGTCCACCAAGCAGCAAGGCCGGGCTCGGCACCCAGGCGCAGTACGATGTCGTAAAGATTGGGACTCGGGAATCGCGGGTCTTCTGCATCCGGGCTCTGGTAGTTTCTTCCTCCGGGGGCGAAGGGCGTGCTTGATGCGGCGGGGGTGCTGCTCTCGGAGGCGATGCGCTCTTGCGGGGTCGCGTACTCTCGCGACTGCCCCGCTACTACCGTGGGCGACAGGCTGGTGAAGGGCATGTGGAATGCCGAGGCCCATCGTGGCGTGTTTGGGACTGAAGGGAAGGGGTAGGATGGCGTTCGAACGGCATGGGTGGCGGTGGGCGTGGGTGGCATGCTGCCGCGAATGGTCCTCGCCGACTCGGTCGATTCGGTCGACGTGGTAAGGCCTGTAGGAAGCGGCGGGTTCGGGCTCGGGGTTGGACTTATAAAGGCGCCCTCGAGGGTGGGCGAGATGCCTGGCATGGGTTCCTCCTTGATGGGCGATATGCGGCGAGAGCCCAGCGCGACAGCGGAATTGTTCGACGAGCTCCGCATGCGCGCTCGCTGCTGTTGCTGCAGCATCTTCAGCTGCAGGCCGCGCAGTCGCTCCACCTCCATCTCGTCGGGCGAGGCCTCGCTCAGTGGCGCTTCTTCCGTGGCCAGCTCGTCGGCACCAGCGCCTTCGTCCTCGTCGCCCGGCTGGCTCTCTGCCTCGCTCAGTTCGCTGTCGGTGGCGGCATCGTCGCGGGGGTTGCTCGGGTTCCGGGTTCCAGGCGAGGGCTGCGAAGTTTGCGACTGATATGTCTTCGCGTCGCTGGCGGCCAGTCTCTGCAGTGGCGGGCGCGTCGTGGGTGGCGGCGCAGTCTCTCTCTTTGAATTAGGAGAGGGTGACGGGGCCTTTGTCATTATTGCATTCCCCAGTCTCCCACAGAACGCGCAGGTGGTGTCGTGATGGGGTCGAGGCAGCGGCGGGCATAGATGGGATGGTGAGCTATGACGTCGCGGAGTGTGCTCCTGGCAAGAATGGACGGTGAAGCGGCCTCAGCACATGGACAGGTCAACAACACGACTTAATGGCCACCAGTGGTTTTCGCACTGTCAGACTGCCAGCAGAGGCCGAATCCCACCGGAGCGCAGAGACAAGCTGGGAGTGCTTGGTGAGTAAGAATCAGGTGGTGGGCTCATGCCAGGATCAGGAGCAGGATAGCCTCGCGCCCATGGGCTTCAACACACGCCCGCATACACTTACAGAAACGTCGAGGCCGCGCACTGCACGCGCTGGACAAAAGCAGTTTGGATGGATCGTGGATCGCGTAAATGATGTGTATTGGCGCGAGGGACCGTCTTGCTCCTGTCTCATTACAGCCGCCCGCTTGGACGAAATTGACTGTTGGCTGCGAGCCGCTAGATCACGGCCAGCGACGTCATCAGGGTTTCTCGATACTCCAGCCGCGCCTACGCCGATCTGGAAACCTCCAGCGACGCCCAACCTCCACAGCCCGTACTCACCGCACCGCATTCTCCCTCTTCGCTGTCTCTACATCGTGATCCTGCCTTCACCACCCATCCACGCCGACCGCTCTTGGGGCGCTCTACATGGCGTCAACTACTATTTTAGCGATGGCCGACGGGATGCCACGTTTCCCCATTGGATGGGTACCCCTGCACATTTCCAAGACGGTTTCCCATGACGTCCCAACCCGGCTAGCGCCAGCAGCTTTCCTTCCGGAAGCCTCAGAGACGCTCGACGCACCACCGTTCTCGACACTACTGAAGAGCCTCACTAGCGACGCTGCTGTCCCTCTCTCGATTGACGTGTTGAATACGCTATCCCGCAAATTTGGCCGTCCTGTCGCGTCTCGGCCCGAATCTGCGCCTGCCTACAAGTAGCCTATGGAGCCACTTGTGGTGTCATTGTGCTGGAGGGCGGACCATGCGGCTGGATCTTGCAGTATACCAGAGTACACTAGGAAGCCTCAGCGGCTTTGGCGCTTCCATTCTTCTAGCTCCTGTCAAATGCGGCGGGGCGGAATCCCAAGACAACGTGGTAACAATGTGCCGAGCAGCTGCCATGCGAGACACGCTGCCCTCCAAACTTTAACAATCTCTACCCGTCAGCTGGCGGGTACCTGCCTCACGTGCGAACACCACGGCTGACAGGTACCCACCGCCATGCCCGCGTCACCCTCGGCAGAGGTATCGTGAGATCAGATAATGCCTGCTTGCAGCCCTGTACTCGCAATCTATCTTCATCCGCGACTTACCGCGCTTCCGTTCCGACGCTCGGAACGACTACCCCTACCAATCATCATCCAGAGGTCTTCGAACGGGTACCTTACATTGTCCATTACTACCCAACGCAGATCTACAGACAATCCCAATATCGAGACGCCACAGCCGTCTTCGGTGAGGATGATCTTTGTGCGAACCGTTATCCAGGGTCCGCGGAGCTTTACCTATGGAACAACCACGGTACCCAATCGCCGATCAGATCGTGATGATCGCCACCCCAGGGACGCGAACACGAACGTTTAAGCCGCGCGTAGCCTATCCGTGCGAGATCTGGCACTACATCTCTCCATGAAGAACTATGATTATTACCGAAGAATGAGCTGTTTCGCATATTTAATGGTGTATGAACAAAGGACCATCTACATCTTACAAATACCATCTGCCTGCGCACCAGCATCGGATTTAACCTTGCAGCACAGACCACGTGAATATGTCTCGCCATTTCCTGCGCCAGTACGCGAACATGAACAACAACACTCGCCATAGACGATATTCCCCAAATCAAAGGGCCAGCTACGATCTAACAAAATGCAATTTTGCGTCACCGGAACGTAAGCGTGTAAAAGAGCCAAGCGAATGACGAATACATCTACTACTAAATTTCCAGCAAGCCTCAAACACACCGACAAGACAAGACCGCTCATTCAACAACCATCAATGAAACGACCGCAAACCACATTGATCTAAGCACTTCCAACACTTTGAACATCCTCGTCTTTTCCAATCCCTCTGCGAGTACTGGCAGCGCTACCAGTATTACCCGCACAGAGATCCAGCACCATATCTCCTCTGAACTCCCCCGTACACATCAAACTCGGCTCATTAGTCCTTGTCCGTTCAAAGTAGTAGATCTTGCACCACTCCTCTCCGTTGCACTCGATCGGGGGGCACACATCACCGTCGCAGCCCTCCTTTGCTTTAAACGACACCTGGAGCCCATTCCCATATCCGGGACACATATCAACCTTGTGTTTCCTGTCTTCATTAGACATGTTCAGGTCGTCAATAGTACGATGGTTGGTGTCGTTGAAGTTGATGCCGTAGAGTGAGGCATGATCCTGCGGATCGGCACAATCAAGGAGTGAGATGTCATAGTTGAGCCTATGGTAGGATGCGTTGTCCAGCGGATTCTGTACAAGCGCGTACTCGAACTGCGTAGCTTCATCTGGTTTCGCTGGATTGACGATTTTGAGCGAGATACCCTGGCCGCGCAGTTTATCCTGATCTGCGCAGTATGCGTCTGCGCCTTCGACGTTTGGACAGGTAACGCGGTAGGGCTCGGTATAGCTTCCACCTGATGCGATGGCGTGTGGGATGCTTTCTTGCCAGGCGTTCCAGCTGCCATTGTGAGGAGGTACGACCGGGCCCTCCGGGTCAAGTTTGGTTCTGTTTCCGCCCATAGGCCATGCGCCGATGGAGAAGGCTACGAACTCTTCTTCGCAGTGGTTGTTGATAACGACGTTACCGTACTCCGGTCCAACCTCCGGCACCGAACCGACTGACGCAGTGGGAGATGCTGGTGACACACTCGATGCGGTTCCACTTTCACCGCCAGCCCCAGCGCCGGTACCCGCACCAGAAACCATAGCCGGAAACGCAGAGCCTGCGGAAGACGCCACAGGTACGCCCATGGACGACATGAACTCCAAGACCGAACTCATCGACATGCTCCCCTCAGCTGCCGATGTCAAGCCCAGAAGCGGTGCCTCGCTCTTCTTGACTACGCCTGCGTGTGAGAATAGGCTGGTCTGTTGGCCGTGTGGTATTAGTACCAGGGCAAAGCCCAAAAGCATAATGTACTCGGCGTAGAAAACCATCGTTGAGATTTGGAGTCGAAGATATGAATGTATGCGCTATGAGGAACTGATCGTCTGCGTAGCGTTGTTGGTAGAGATCGATAGAGAAGAGCGCCGTGTTTTGCATGTAGTAGAAATTTGTAGGGAAAAGGTGTATGTGGAGGAAGATGAAGGGAGAGAAAAGAGTTGAAATACATCCGTTGTTTCTGCCATGAGTCTTTGGCGATGACTTGGAGCGATGCGGGAAGTGACTGGCGTTGACAGACGTCTGCTTGACTCGTACGGTGACAAGATTGTCAACGTCGCTATGAATCAACGCTTTTTCTGTATATAAGAGTCATGGTTCTGTGCTGGTAAACCATCAGACCATTTTCATCTCATATCTATCCCATCTCGTGCCCTGTAATGTTTCCGCCATCTTGCATCCGAATCTAATCACCACGTCGCCTGCCAATCAATCTCCAACCTCGAACCACTTGAGCAGCTTAACGTTATACTCCTGGAATCCAGCAACAAGATCCGCAGCACCTACATTTGGTTGCTGTAGAAGAGTAGCGTAGAAGCAAGCTACACGTTTCGCGAACACACCCGGCCTGAATGCCACCCATTCCCGACGTCCCTCTGACTCCTGGACAAACAAACCTAGCTCGCGATGCGCAGATAGAGCAGGCAGGGATGCATCTTTCCAAGAGGACGCTCTCAAAGTCTGCTTGTGGGCCCGCCAGTCCGCACCTGCCTTTCCGTGGTAGCTGGTAGCCATCTGGAAGTCTCGCAATTTAGCGTGAATCTTGTGCCACAACAACATTGATGTATACGATTCCTTGAAATCAGCGGTACCCAATTCTCTTTTCATTCTCTTGAAAGTCTCGGTGGTGGACAGCTTGCATCGGAGGAACTCGAGCTTTCTGGTCTTGGAACCCTGAGGGGTCGACGTCTTGAGCACCTCTACCAGCTCATCAAAGGCGGCTTGTTGGTGGTGTGACTCTTCCGTTGGCTTAGGGACCATGTAAAGATCTCCATTGGGGTCCTCATGTGGTGGAGCATGCGTCGCAATGTTCTGCTCTGGTTGCAGAGCCATGTCCTTGAACCGGTCGATCAATGATGTGTCGTCGCTTGATTCGACCTGACGACCGTCCTCCATGCTGGGAGTAAGACCGCTGCAGTTGATACCGCTTGTTTTTGTTGCAGATAGCTCATCCCAGCGTGTATACGGGGGATAATCTGTGTCCGGGGTGGTCGTAGTCAAGGAAGAGTTTTCTTCTTGCTTGTCCGCCTTCTTCAGCCTTCTCTCCTTCGGGGGCAGTGTATCAATCTCCGCGTCATCTTGATCTCCGAGAGTACCTCCAAGCGTAGTATCGTTATAAGCAGGTACATCGCTGATGGTCCTGATATCTGGCGATATAGTAGGGGAGCCCTCCTGCTTGATAAATCCGTATGATTCCGAGTCGTCGCTGGGATTGTCATCGCCGCCATAAGAATTTGTGACAGTGCTCAAAGCGACATCTTCGGATGCGCTATTACTGGAGGGGCCCCTGATGAAGGGCTTGGGTAAAGGCGCGTTCGAGAGAGAGCGTTCCTGCTTCCTAACTTTCCTAAGCGTGTCTTTTCGAGACGTAAAGAGGCGTTTCCCGATCAAGCATCTTAGCATGATCTCGATACTACCCATGTCAGTTCGCTTTCTTGGAAGACAGAGTTGTCTTACGTCGCTTTGTCATCCGGCTGGCTAATGCGAAGTTCGTTTGTTGCACTTCTTCGGTCATCGTCTCCCCATATAGAGCCGTAGCGCGACATCAAGCTTTGAGCTTCTTCCTTGAAGCACTCCGGATCCTCGTACGCCTTCCGTAGGTTGGGAAGGTCCTTGGGCAGTGTACTGTTGATCACTGCTTTCGTGACGCCTTCATAGAGTTCTTCTGCCTTTGGATCAAGGAGACGGTGTTTACCGCCCACTCTTTCATCCGCAGCCAAACCCAGACTGCTCAGGTAGTCTGCTACCGCCCTCTCTGACTTCATAGAGTCGGCCAGTAAGATCTCGCCCTCTTGTTTGAGCTTCACCGGATCCGCTACAGGCTTTGCTTCCTTGCCAATAATTAGTCAAATTCGATAGCGGAGAGGCGAAACTTACCTTATCCATGGCGTATCAGACAATGGGGGTCTTCTCTGGTTGGGTTATCTTTGTGCGAAATACAGGATTTTGGATTGTGCGGGTGAGATGTCGCCTGGACTACTAGGCGTTGTTGTGGTTACCTAGGCACTTGTGCAAAGGCCCCCAGGTTTTCTTGGCGAACTGATCACTACCCAACAACTCAGGAAAGCATTGACGTCCAAACAGCTATCGATGTCGTAGGAATATTAAGAACAAACCGCTCTACAGCGCTCTCTACCAGTGTTTGGATAAAGAATATCTTCTTAGGTCTGGGACTAAACAGAGTGGGGAAGTAACGTGAGAAGACTCTAGTGGTGTCTTACAGCAACGATCCCTATTTCATAAACGATGAGACCCGAACTACGAATACGTTTGGAAGAAAGAAGTGACATGAGGAACGGTATGTGAGGGTTAGGGAAGAGATTTGACGCAGACAACCCGGAATGCTACTCCTGTATACGATGCACGTAAGTTAATTTTGACTGAACAAGTCCGAGTAGCCTCCAAGTCGCTAGGATCATGTTCTGTCATATCCCCCTCCGCATGTTCATATTGTCTGTCTTTCTACCAGCGAGCGCGCTTGAGTTCGTGGAAAACAAGGTCAATACAACACCCGTAAGCCGTCGGAGAGATCCACGGAAGGTAGGATGAGGCATATCGCCACTAGGTGTGTCAAGGTACGAGTGACTTGTGTGGATGTGTGAATGAAGAAAGACTCACGATCTTGCGTGCTTGCTCATCGATGTCTAACGTTCCGGAGCTAGCTGGCCACGAGGAAAACAAGTCCGCGTCTTCCCTGAGTCAGCCACAATCCACCCAATCACCACGCAGTACCTGACTACTCCGCACTCCAGGCCCTCGATTTTCCTCCACATTCCGCGTCGGCGCTGTTCCGCCCTCCCGCGTCAAGATGCCGACGCAACCCATACTAGAGCTTCCCGAGGCTGCGACGATGCTTGGGTATACAGATATCCGGGAGCGCTCCAATTCTCCCCACAGTGATTTATTATCTATACCTCTACAGTCTGTGAGTTGAGCGCTGCATAGCATATCTTGGAAGTCTGGAAGTTTGTGTACTTGCGCAAAGTCCAGCCCAGCATGCCGTCAATATCCCTCACACTGCGCACCGCGCGCACCTTCTCGCGAAGCACAACAAAAGTCATCCTGCCCTCTCAGATCGTTTCTCGGCAGCTACTGACATTGACAGACATACCTCAACCTCTCGCGCTCCTTCTCATCGTCCCTGCGCCGCAATGAGATCAACAAGGTCTACCCGAGTGCCGCAGCGGCTATCGAAGACATGGCCTCTGACAGTACGCTGCTATGCGGAGGCTTCGGACTTTCAGGCGTCCCAGACACGCTCATCCACCAAGTAAAGAGCACACCACACATCACAGGTCTGACCGCCGTATCCAACAATGCCGGCATCGTTGGAGGAGGCCTCGGCCTACTACTCGAAAGCAAGCAAGTCAAGAAGATGATTGCGAGCTACGTAGGCGAGAACAAAGTGCTGGAGCAAATGTACCTCACCGGCGAGCTAGAACTCGAACTCACACCCCAAGGCACCCTCGCCGAGCGATGTAGAGCAGGGGGCGCCGGCATTCCAGCCTTCTACACACCCGCGGCCTTTGGCACCGTCGTGCAAACCGGCGAACTAGCCCTCAAGCACAACAGCGACGGTAGCGTAGCCCAATACTCCACACCGCGCGACGTCAAAGTCTTCGCGGGCAAGAGCTACGTAATGGAAGAAAGTATCAAAGGCGACTACGCCTTCATCAAAGCCTACAAAGCCGACCGTCTAGGCAACGTGCAATTCCGCTTCTCAGCCCAAAACTTCAACGGCGCCATGGCCCGCAACGCTACAACCACGATCGTCGAAGCCGAGCACATCGTCGAGCCTGGCGAGATCCCTCCCAACGCCGTCCACGTCCCCGGCATCTACATCGACCGCGTAATCCAATCGACGGCCGAAAAGAAGATCGAAAAAGTCGTTAACGCAAAAGACCCCCAGGAAGCCGTATCAGCCCTCGGCGCCGGCGACGCAGCCTCGAAACGCGAACGCATCGTGCGCCGCGCCGCGAAGGAATTCAAAAACGGCATGTACGCCAACCTGGGTATCGGCATGCCCATGCTCGCCCCTTCCTTCGTAGACCCCTCCGTAGAAGTCCAACTTCAGTCTGAAAACGGCATCTTGGGTCTAGGTCCATACCCGCAAAAAGGCCTCGAAGACCCTGACCTCATCAACGCTGGCAAAGAAACTGTCACTCTTCTCCCCGGCGCATCGTGCTTTGGCTCTGAAGAGAGTTTCGGTATGATCCGTGCGGGAAAGATCGATCTGACTATCCTCGGTGCTATGCAAGTGTCCGCTAGAGGTGACTTGGCGAATTGGATGTTGCCGGGTAAGGTCAAGGGATTCGGCGGTGCGATGGATTTGGTCAGTAATCCGGAGAAGACGAAGGTGGTTGTTACCATGGAGCATACGGATAAGAAGGGGCGGCCCAAGATTCTTAAGCAGTGCGAGTTCCCGCTTACGGGTAAGGCGTGTGTGAGCAGGATTATTACGGATTTGGTGAGTACCCCTCTACATTCCTCTCTTCCGTTGCAAATATTTGGATTGGAGACTAATGATTGTGTAGTGCGTGTTTGATGTCGACTTCACAGAGGGCTTGACGCTCATCGAGCTCGCGGATGGCGTTACTGTGGATGAGGTGCGGTCGAAGACTGGTGCGGATTTCAAGGAGGCAGCGGAGATCAAGCCGATGTTGTAGTAGACATGCAGTCTTCACACTCGCACAAAATACCAATGTCGTTTTTTTGCACAGATAATGCACGTCTATTCCAAAACCCCAAGCCCGCTATGAGACAAGTACACAAACTA